GTTGATAATTTATTTATCAAAATATATTGAAATAAAAAAAATAAGATAGTTGATTAGTTTATTTTTATTAGATACTTTTATGATCTAAATTCAGTTCCGAGATCAGTAATTAAGCCTGGACAGCCGAATTAAATAGCAAAAATGTCTGATTAATTCAAATAAACCCGTAAGTCTTGTATGCAAATATGAAAGCGAGAGGGCAGCGAAGAAAGCTGGTGAGAGTATTTCATGAAACGTGTCTCATTACAGGCTTGTCACATTGGTCATCTGTTCACTTTACTTCATGCTGGATGAAACGGTGGGTGGCGATGCCTGTCTCCACACCGTTAAGGTCAACGTACAAAAGTGTCAGTAAGTAAAGCAGACCAGTATATTCAAGACACACCATCTTATTTGCTCACAAGCACACATTTTCTCTCGGTCAACTATCAAATATTTATATTCAATTAGCTAATTACTTCATAAGCGTTTACTTCTTTTCTTTTTGATTTAGAAAAATGTTTATGATCCCAATGCTGAAAAGCATCCAGGAAATTATGAAGAATTATGATGAAGATATAATAAGTCTGAATGGCTGCATCAAACAATCACTTCCTGCCGCCATGTTGGTTGCTAATAAATTCTCACTACAAGCTAGTATTAGAAGGGTTTAAATGCACAATACAGAAAAGCTAGAAGGAAGAAAACAATGATAACTAATGCCCAAGTGACTTAAAAGGTCATGGAAAGAATTTGTTGGCCATTGGCCTTGGAAAGTGCACAACCTCTTTGGACTTCCGGATAAGAGGGTAAAAAAGGAAAAAGAGTATGGAAAGGACTTTTGATCACTGGGTAGATCGTAAAAGTAGAGTTTACGACGTTTGCGAATCGCGATCGGGAAGAGAAACGCATATACAATTACTTAGCAAAGATTGGAGAGACCTGAGAGATAGAGAGAGAAATTGGTAGGGTGCTCATCTGATGTAAGAATTGGTGATGGTGGTTGAGATTCTTGTAAGTACGGGCGTAGCGTCAATTACTCATTTATACGAGGCTATTACCCCTACCTGAAGACATTCCTTACGCGCTTCACTCACATTTCTTGCGTAAGGAAATCATAAATATTTTGAAGATCAAATAAATTGTGAGTAATATGAAATAAGTGGCAGTTCATGTAACATTTTTGTAACAACACATCCATCATTAATAAATTTTATGCAATTATTCAAAGCAAGGCAGAATGAGTTTTTATTTTAAAATAAAATAATTAGAAATGAAAATCTTTGAAATAAATCTAAAATTGCAGTAGCAAGAGGAGAAATATATAATTGCAAATGAAGATTTTAAGATTTATTGCCATAAATCATCAAGCTATCAACTGTCATTTGATAGCATTTCATCAAGCTCCAGGGTAAATGGATGTAAAACATGATACCCTTGGTGAACCCTTCAAGATATTAGCAAGCCAAAAAGATAATATTCATGATTACAAATAAAGATGACTTGAGTAAACTTCTGATTAGAAATTTGAATAAAAAATATCCTTGACATGGAACAGTGTTAACTAATGATTTAAAAGTTGGAATGAGTGTTGATCAGAAGTAAGAATGGTTGAAACTGTATTAAGTATACTGGTGTAGCGTCGATTACTCATTTATCCGAGGCCATTATCCCTACCTAAAGGATCTGCCACCCGCGAGTCCTTGCGTAGGCACTTATTCGCGGAAGAGAACAAGACGAAGAGAAGGAAAGAGGAAGGATTCATGAGAAACATCTTTATCGCTAGATCTGGATGGGATCCCAACTGCTTCAAAGCGACATGCAAGTATCTCAAGTTTTTCTCTTTCCTAGTCTCGTATCTTCTCTCGCTCTCGTTTTCCGTCCCCCAGGCGTCTCGTTTATTCTCGGCATCGGAGCGTATTACGGCTATTCATTAACGTGTAATTGACTTTTCAATACGAGTAGGCGGGAGAGAAAGAAAAATAAAAGACTGGATGAGTTACGATCGGATAATCCAACGTTGGATTGAAGATCTAAGGAGATCCCTGCTAATGTGTACTTTCGGGCTTGCTGCGATCGTTAAGACTCCACCTCATCATCTTCCATCAATTCTGCTTGCTTGATTAACTTCTAACCAACTCTATTTTATTATTACATACTTCTTTTATTATACACACCAAACTACCTAACACTGTTTACACTTTGACTACTACCAAGAATCTGCATCAGCTGTTATTATATTTAGATCATTGTTCTCAAATGTATTTGCAAGAATAACTGGATGCAGAAACATGCCAACACTCATTTGAAGGAAGTACAACTTAAGTCAGAAGTTATGGAAACACAACGGCCAAGTCAGTTTATGACTTGGTAGTTTATGGATTGAACAGACCAAGCCCCTATATTACAATAAGCGTCAAGAATTTGTTTTTTTTTACAAGTCTATTTTCCTATTATCTAGAGCGTTAACATCAGCTCCGATTCCTGGTAGTGAACTTTTACTATAAAAAAAACCTTTCGTGGTCATTTGAAAATTACCGTTGACCAATCATTTTGCCTCTTCTGAATCTTCTTCTTATTATTCGAATTCCCGAGATGCTACGACTATAAACTGATTCCTATACATTATCTTCAACACCTAGATACCTCTTGTTACAGTTACTTCCACTCATTGTTCGAAAAACTAATCAACTTCATCAATTAGAGTGACTGCATTCTCTGTACAATGTTGTTTTTAAAAAGAGTTCATAAAATATGCAGTTTACTTTTAATCGATCGTTTTAGAAATTATAGCATTTTTATCAGCAATTGAACTTGAATAACGATTACATTATTTCAAAGGATTATTTTTTATTTCGTTTTATAGCTAACTGACTCTTGGAGATTATTACTTAAATCCTCTATTTAGATAGTTATTTTCCTTTTAATTTCATCATTTCAACTATTTTTTATTCTCTAACCATTTTATGTTGATGATAAATAATGATAAATTATTTCATGGACTTAAATAGCAGTGAGAAGGTTAATTAAGTAATTAATTAGGTTGAAAGATTGTGGAAAACACTATATTGCCATTGAAAAAAAAATACTTAACATAACACTACCCTGAGAAACTGAATGGTATTCAGTGAATTGGTATTTTTGTGTGCTCTACATAACTTGTCTTTTGTACATTAAAAAAATATTTTAATAGTCAATAGATAATTAGAATTTTCTGCAATTAAAAATATTATTTCCCAAGCATTAAATTTTTTTTGTGAATTTTTTTCAACAATTAAAGACAATTATTATTTGTATTTTTTATTAACAAAGACAATGGTTTATTGTTTATTAATATTCAAATTAATCTAATAGAAGAATATTATATAGTTTTAAATATATGGCAGTTAAAATAATCCAAGTTTAATTAGCATTAAACTTCCACAAACAATATTTATTAGTTTAATAAATTACTCTTCATTATTTATTATTTCTGACAATCTTAGTCATTAATAAATTATAAACTTCACTATAAATATCATCAATCTACTTCAAGAATCTTTTTCTACAACATAAAATCGAATTTTCCTAAAGAGCCCATTACAAAAAATACATCAGACAAGATATACATCTTAAAAAGAGCATGATAAGATGCATGCAAGATGACGTAAGTAAAATGATGTTTACAACACACAAGATAAAAATTCCTAAAACATCAAGAGTATTTATTCCAACTACCCTGCTATAAAGTAAATTAAACTGCACGTGAAGATCGGCATCGTTCCATCAAATAACGGAATGAAATGACAAATTCAGTACCTGATGGTCTGATCTTTTCTGCTACTACCACCACCAACAACAACTGATGAATTAACATCATAGATGACATAACAGTTTTCATCACCACGTATATACGGGATCGACCAATTTCGCTTAGAACCTTCAGGAACAGTAACGGAACGTATACGTCTTGGTTACTTGACCACTTTAATAGCGTTTTCGTGTTAAGTTCATGACTTCGGTAGCCGTAAAGAATGCCTAGCGTACGACACAACCAAAGGGCATTGGCATCTCACGTAACTTTTATAATAGTCCTTTAAAAAATACACTTGCGTCTTTTAACTAACCATCTTGTCTGTATCTAAGAGCGTTAAATCTACCTGAATCTTAGGGTAAATTATGAGCTTGTAGCATTAAATTAATTCCGGCCATGCGTATGATAAATCAGTTTAAAGCCATTTCTTATGAAAAATTATCTACATCCAGACTAGGTCCAGGGAAACTAATAAATCCGTTTAAGACTAACGCAAGTATTTCTACGATTATTTTCTTCACACGTTGCAGTTCAATGTGCTTGCATATTACGTGGGGTCTAAGGGTAGTCGTGCGACAAGTCCATGATGCTAAGCTGTAAATCGACCACACCGTGACGTAAATGATATTAGTCATCGCGTGCTCGCATTCGCTTCCTACTCATCTTCTTCTTCTTTCCTTCATCATCGTCTTCTTGGTATATATACCTTTTGGTTTCTTTACGCGCTTGGTTCTTGATTGGTTCTCTATGACATGTTCTTATCTTCATGTCCCAAGAATTACCAACATTAATGGATCCAGATCTACCCGATGATGACAGTGATGATGATGATAGCAATTAATTGAGTAACACGAGTGAATTTGAAACATTCCCTACGGTTATCGATTAATTAAAGTCTTTTACTCAATTACTAGTCTCTTACAATGTTTAGCACATCATAAAAAATTATTTGAATAAATAAAAGTTGACACATATCATGTACGTTTATGTCACAAGTTTCTTTTATTTTTCACCATTTTTAATGAAAATGTATTTTTATTTTTTGTTTCCATGTTGAATTATAAAGTTATTCGAACTGAATGTTGAAGTTTCAATATCAATAAAACCATGCTCATTCGATAGTAATGGTTAAACCGTGTTGAGTTAATTTCGAATAAATTAAGTGATGAATATTTTTGAGGGATCCTACTGGAATTGTTTGATAAAAAAAAGTATAATCACAGCTTACCTCCTGTAAAAGTGTGTCTTGCTATCCATATTGATTATTTGTCTTAATCAGGTACAATTGTCTATTCACCAAAGCACAAAGTAATAAATAAAATCACACCAAAGCACTGATTTGGATGAAAGACGAACTGGAGGTGAAGAGGAAGATTGATTGTAAAGTGTCCTTGTAAGAACCGAGGCAACTCTTCACCTTGAAGACGTACCGTCAACCAGAGTCTTGTCGACTCTTCTATGTTGGCTGCTGATGCAAGAGTGGGCGGACAATTCTGATTCCCTCCTCTCTTGCAGAATAATCGTTCGCGATGGCAAAAGCGGTATAAGAAGGTGAGGAGAAAGACAAAGGTACAACATAGGCAAGGAAGTGACGGTGAATATAGATGTGTCTGTAAGGAAGATAGAGAGAAAGAGGAGTTGGCTCTCTGCTATGTAGTTTGCAGAGTGGAGCACCGCGTCGTAATGACATGGTCTAGGAGATGCCGGTCAGTTTTGTAATAGGGATGGTAAAAAGTGAATTTTCCCCGGGTGGGGAAACGAGTCGTTGACCAATCGTGAGACTTTAATGTACGCAGATATGGGGAGGACCAATCGTACTCTGCTACTACATTCCACGACAATTCGCCAACACATATTTGACATTCCGCAATAGTTTTATTATCCTTTTTAACCCACCTTGTTCTGCTGTTTCTCTGGATATTTCAGTCCATTTCTTTCTGATGGGTTTAAAACCCATCTATTTGAAATTTACGTTTTTCTGCAAGTTTGTGATTTTTTTTCGTTTGATCTATTGCACACATATACCGTTTAAATTTATTTATTTTTATCTTTCTATTTTGCTAATTTATTTTTAATGAAAAGACATTGTTTCTTTAGTAATAATTAGATTGAAATTTAATTAATTTTTTAATACAAATACAAACCAGTCATTGATGTCCCAATTATTTACTGAAAAAAGAGTAATTGTTTCTATTATCCTTAATAAAATAATATATAAAAAACTAACCTCTTTTCTAATGAATCATCTGACTATTCTTTTATTAATGAAAAAATTTTTTCATCGAAAAAAACTCAGCTGTATTGTTCTTTTCAATCATGATAACTGTTGTAAAATAAGAGTAAATTAAATTTAATTCTTTTTAATAATAAATCAAGAAAACTTTCAGCAACATGAAGATCATGAATTTTTATATTTTCATTTCATAAATAATTCTTTTACAACCAGTTAATAATACAATTTATCCTATTATTTTAATAAATGAATCATTTATCAAGAAATTAAAAAATGTCGAATATTTAAATAGTTTTTTTTTTTAATTTTTCATGGTTATAATTTAAAGTAAATCATAAAAAATAAATTCTTATTACATCATTCACAGTGATGGAAAACAAAAAGGAAAAGGCAATTAACCTTTAGATATTCCATGATGATATAATCCTTATCAGATATGATATTATTATATTTTCAACCCTAAAAAAAATCTATAAAACAATCATAGACAAAAAGTATATAGACTTGGTGAGAATTGAGAAGTAAATACCAATTTTTATTACCCAAAAGTTTTTTTTCAGTTGAATCTTATACTTTATTCTAAAGACTAAAACATGTTTCGTACTAATGAGTTTTTTACCAGCCGATAGGATAAACTTACCTATAACAAAAGTATGTATCTCAAGACTACTACCTGCTCTGTAATCATAAAAAGATTTTTTCCCATAAAATTTATGACTTTTATTGTAACTGTAAGAACATAAGCTATAAGCTATTAGCACAGGAAGATATAGATATGTATACACTCATAAATATCTAACTGCGAAAGATGCGTCGAAAAAATAAATAAAGTTATCTTAAAGTTGAAATTATAGTATGGTTATGAAATACCTCAAAATTAAACTTACAAATTCTTATCATGCCACCAGAATCTTACTTTTGTATCACGTATTGTGTTGTTACTCTATGAAAACAATTGATGCTAGAAGCCTGGGAATCGAATTCTTCATCATTCTCCATGGTATTGATATTCTCCAGTGTTCTCCAGATTCCATTGAATGGGAATATAGCAAACCAGACTTGGATAGTTTGAGCAAAAAGATTTGAAAGACCAATTTCACTGATCCGTAGTGTCGAACCGTTAGACGCGTGCAGACCCGGAAATCCTCAGGGCGTGTATACACCCGTAACTTGGTACTTTTTTTTATCTAATTCTGAAGCCCACTTGCACATGTGGCGCCTAGAATCAACTTAATAGCAACCTGTCTATCGTAAATCGTAACATAGTCGGTGATTGCGTGGGATGAAATCGGGAAAAAACTTTTCAACTCACGGAATTCCTTCGATTACGTGATTTACTCAAAGTCTACTACCTTGAAGACTCCGAATAACGGCGAGCTACAATAATTATTAGATTGTCAATGTTTCGTTTTATTGTCCCAAGTACTATCACAGTGACCATTAGACTTTTACTATCGAATTTCAGCGTGTGAAAGAGGATTCACAACTGTAGAATTGTAAATTATATAGTATGTTCTATAATAGTTGATTCAAGTGATGGATTAATTATTCTATCATTTTTAATGAGCCATCAATGGTAATAGAAAAGCAACATGATATTTTGATCATAGACTTTTGATGCATTAGAATAATAATCCACCACTCGGTTCAGAGTTGACCAAGTTGATTACCAGGCAATGATCTTTACATAAATTATTATCAATTCAAACACAAGTTGTTCATTAATAAACTTGATCATCAGAAAAATTACCAAATGAATTCTTTTATAACCGATAACTCTTGGCGCCTTATTCTTAGTTCAAGTCTTTACCTCTATCTTTAACTGAATCGTCAAGTGTTGCTTTGTTATATTCTATTGTTCATGATCGATTGCCTTGATTACTCTCTCCTAGCAGGAGTCTTGAGGGTCTGCAGGGAATCTTTCGTCCTTCATGAGTGACCGCAGGAGTATTTTCTCACCAGCCGCAGGAGTCAACGGATTTTTCTATCTTGCTATTTCTTCATCTGACTCTGGATTCGATCCACGAGCTTTTCATGCTGCAATTGTGGATGATTATTCATTGTTACTTCAAACGAATCTCTTCTGGACATGTCATTCATCATCACCTCGTCACTTTGCACTTTATCATAATACTTATTTTGCTTGTTATTGATTGAATATACTTTTTTTTACTTTGTTTAAAGAAAGGAAAGTTCTGGAAAAATAGTAAATGAATTTTTGTAATCTGTTGGAGAAATATGATGAAGTAGCAATGGAAGGCAAGTATTCTGATTTATCTCATATTAGTTGAACAAAAATGTGAATCACGGAATCATGACTACAGTTGAAGTTCTGCTCGACTATAAATACGTGAAGATCAACTGATCGCTGTCAGATGAAAGAAGATTCCCATTGGCCTCTGCTCTTTTTGTTCGATTAGTGCAATGGAAGCAAAAAATTTTATTTCTTTCAAGATCTCTTCTCTAACTTTTCACGCTTCCCATTGTTCGTCTTTAACTATTTCTCTGGCGACTTACACACTTTTGTAAGCAACCTCAGGCCTTGCGATACCAAGTTAAAAGAGAAAGAATTAAGAGTAACTTTGATAGACCCGTGGGAGAAATTGGCCAATTTCATGGGCACTATTGTCACGCTCTTAGAAACCTGTTCCTACTTTTTTTATATGGTGCACCGTATTAATTACTTATATTACTGTCAATAAAAAATTAAAACAATTTTTTTTTCACTGTAGTCATTTGAAAATATGCTGGCCAAGAAATTTATCTGCTGATGAATTTTCAATCTCTTAGACTCAAGTCGATTAAATTTTTACCAATAATTATTGGATGTTAATGAACCAAGAATTTTTTTACTTCATCATTTCCGCTCTTCAAAGGTTCGCTTCAAAGTGATCTTTTTTGATTTTATTGAAAACATCAGAAATTATAGCAAAGTAGTTAAGAAACTGGGTTATATCTTGTAATAGTCATTAATCTATTATCCATTAAAAATAAATTATAACATCTCTAGATCATCATTAAGATATTTTTAAAACGTTATTGATAATTGATATAATCATTGCATAACTTTTTTTTTCAAACTGTAAGCAAATGTTTTTCTTTTAATGGATTATACATGTTTTAAACATTTCAACAAATTAAAGAATAAATTTGAACCATGTATTATGCTAAAATATCTATGATTTAGCTAACTGCTTTCTGTCTTTTTTCAAATGTATATAATTTTAACTGTTCACTGCTCGTTGGCAAAGACATAGATAATAATTGCTTCCATCCAAGTATTTCTGAAGGACTACCTGAACTTGCAACTGTTTAGAAAGACTCACATCATGACCTTGTAACCTTTCCATATCTTGGACAAATTTTACATTCTGTTTTACAATTTCGTGCTACTGATTATCTTACAATGCAAAAAATTAAAAGGTGAAGGATTCAGCCTTTAATTCTCTTCAAAATACTTCATATGTGAGAACAGTTATCTTAATAGTTTAAGTCATGGTCAAGGTCATTTTCCATATCTGTAACTTATTATGAAATCCCTGTAAAAAATCAAAGTCAAATTTGTAGAAATCTTTTTAATTAAAAAATTATCTTGAATTTTTATATTTCATTCATTAATGTGAATGAAGGAACTTAAATACAATATCTGTTGATTTAATGATATAAAAAATTTTAAAGAAGTTTAAAGATACTTCGTATTAGGAATGATAAAATTTTATTTAAAATTTTTTTATTGAAATTGGAGTCAGGATAATGTGAAATAATAGTAAGGAAGTATAAGAATTGATGATGAAGGATTAATATTATCACGATGGAAGAGTAAAATGGGAGAGGAAGTCTAAGGATCGAGGGAGATTCTAGTGTTGGTTCGCTAATCGATCAGGAGAAATAAAAGTAAAAGTTATGAGAGGGCTGGCATTGATGAACTTACATATCTCTTACGTAGTACGATGATATATGGTAGAAGCTAACGTAAAGGTCGATCTCGTGCGATACCCTTCCTAGTGCAATTATTTGTATCGCACTATCTTCCATTCTGATTCACTGCTTGACGAACGAATGTACTCTTTGATAAATAAAAAAATTTTCATAAAAACCCACATAATTTATTAATTAATGAGAACATTAAGCATACAATCAAGTTCATATTCAAGTTATTTAAAAGTTTAAAACTTCTCAGGAATGAAAGAATATTGTTTGTATTTTATAGAATAAATCGGTTAGTTTATAAAAAGATTATTAAATTTAATCTTTAGTTTCTCATACCATGAGATTAAAATTTACATATGGGGGACGTTATATTAAATAGCACATTTAGACGATTCTTTTCTCGGTTCAACTATAAATGTCCTAATTGTTTTTAATTAAAAAATATCATTTTGTAGAAATGTTCATGATAAAAAAATACTCTTAAATTTTTTCATAATCGCACATGTATTCATTTATCAAAGAAATATAATTTTGTATTTTTTATAGAAGTAAAAAATTTCTTTAAAGTTTGCTGAACGAAAGTAGATTCTCACGGGCGACAATTGGGACAGTATAGTTGGACCGGAGAAAGAGTCGTCTTCGGGTGATTCCGAAAAAGTCAACTCTGCCAAAAAAAAATAACTAAAATGATATCTAAAAGATGTCTAAAAAACGTCTAGAGGAAGTCAGAAAAGATGTCTATTAGAAAAAATGTTTTTAGATATCTGTTGGACATCTTTTTGGTTTTTTTTCAGACATCTGTTTAGCTTTCTTTCAGACATGATTTCAGACATTTAAATCGACATCTTTTTGGATCTTTTTAAGACAACTTTCAGAATGTCCAATAGGAATTTGATATCTTCTTATCTGAGTCTAACAGATGTCTTCTGGATAGCTTTTTTTAGTTGGGATTAGTTCAAATTTCCCTAAGATTTTTTTATTACTAAGAAATATTATTTTTATTGATATGAATTATTGATAGAATGTGTACACGATGCGATATATCATATGAATTAATTATAAAAAAGCGAATTAATAAATGAATTTTCGATTTTTTATATTTACCGCGAGGCGTAGTAATAAAAAATAGGGGAAAATAGAGCTAGGCGCATGCGCTCATTATTTTAGACATGGTGGGGGTATTTTGGCTAAAAAGACTCGAAAACGACTCTTTCTCTGGTCCAACCATAACTTTATAAGTCATCTTTTTAGAGTTAATTAATGCTCAATTGTTTTATTTATCTATTGTCATTCAGTAACCTTGGTTATATTAATTGTAACCAATTTTAAATTTTATAGGAGGTATAAAATAATGACTTACAGATAAAAATAACAAACAAACAGCAAAATAATAAAATTAATGATGTAAAAAAAATCCATTATTTGAGAAGCGACTTCGTTATGAATTTTTCTGGACAAAAGTCATTTGCACTAAAAGTAATCAATGGATGAGGGTCGGCACCGAAGGAGTCTAGAAATAACTCGAGGGTATGTGACAAAAAAAGTAAAAATCAATTTTTTCATAGTTTTTATAGCTTTGAACAAATGAATTTTCTACTACCATAACATTTTTTATTGTTACAATTGTTGTGACGTTTTTAAACTATTCTGGGTGGTCTATTTACGATCGAAATGAACTTTAAAGTCATAATAAAAGATCACAACGCCATTTCCTAAAGTTATTTTGCTTTAGAATTTATTGTAACATTATTTTTCCAAGGAAAAATTCATTTACAGGTTGCAGTGTGATTTTCCTGAAGAAACATCAACAATAATTGAAACGTCTTATTCAAATATCGATCGTACGTATTATTGATTAGTTGATAATTTAAATGAGATACTCTTCAATTACCATAATTAATTTACACATAAAATTTTTATGTTTTAATAGCTTTCATCAATTTACATCATCAAACCATTTCTGAAAGTTTACAAGTATTTTCGGAGTCACTTCAACGTTGGTACAACAATACTAGGGTCGTGACTAACGCTACGGTGTCGGACATTAAAACCCTTTGGATAATAACAAGTTAGCGAAGAGAGAACTATTTAGAGAATAAATTCATATAATTCAGCAATAATCCTTTCCTCCAATTTGTCTGATTGCAGGCGGAAATCATTTGCATAAAGGAAAAGTCGTGGGAAAATTATTGGCGTACTATCTTATTGTTATTGGAATTTATCTCATTCAAGTTGGATTTTGGATCAACATTAAAATTATCAAACTTATACTAGATGTCATCATGAATCAGCCTAGGAAGTAAGTTCATTCATTCAACAAAATATTTTTTCATGCGCTTTGTTTGCTAATAATGAACTGTTTATGATGTATCAATGAAAAAATAGTTTAAAGACACTAGTAGCCTACAAGCCAAATATTATCACTATCAGTAAATAATATTCATTGTATGAAGATCATTAAGCCAATATTAATAACGTCATTATAGATAACACAAGAGAACAAGTAGAAGGTTTTGAAATACAATTTGTATAAGATGCTTTGAAATATGTACTTGTGCATAATAAAATATTTAATTAGCTTTGAAAGACTAACTAAAAAGCTATTGAATAGCTCAAGTCAAAGTACCAATTTCATATGCAGATAAACAATGAAATAGCATTTTGTAAACTTACGCAATACAGCGACTGGTCTTGTAATTTCTTAACTCATAAAAACAATCATCTCTGCATTTTTACATTTTTAAAATTTTTTTTTTCGGTCCTTACGACCGCCTTCTCGTGAAGTTATGCTTTGTGCAGTAAAGAAACCGCCTGGTCATTCTTGCAGTTCTAAGGGCGAGTGAAAACGTCGAAATGAGAAGCAAGTTTCCTAGTGCGAGTAAAGTTTTATACACGATCCCTCTGACTTATTATTATGCTTCAGTACTTTTCTTCATATTCTCTTTTTCTCCTCTTTAATTTGGCTCTTCCGTACGCTTTTGCTCAATATAAAATAGTTATAATTCTATTTTATTTTTATCATCTATAAATTATATCATATCCATTTGTTTATTTTCCATTTTTTAAGTATCATTTGTTAGACTGCAATCCTTGATTAGATTTATAGTATTTTTTATGTTTAAATAAGTGTCGGTTATGATACTTCCGCATTGTAATAATTGATTATTTAACAAATATAGAAAAGTAAATTGTTGACAGAGTCTAATTATTGTTCTAACAATAGTTTTATTATTCTCTTTTATAATAATTGTTCAGGGTAAAGAAATTTAATGATAACTACTTTGAAATGAATTTGAAAAATTAGTTTCCCATTGTTTCAACTTTTACTACTTTAATTAGCATTATCATGAATTCTTGCGTTTTCGTTACATCCATCTCATATTATTTAAAAATAAAAATAATAAAACTAATATTGATCCAAATAAAATATTCATTCCCTCTAGCTATAATCGCATCCTAATAATTATTGTAAATAATTCTGTCAAACATCACACCAAATTGTTATGTTTAAATGTAAAGATTAATATTAGATGATTTTTTTCAGCAATAGAAGAGCACTGGGGATCCTCTTTAGCATCTTAATGGCTCTTTTGCTTGGAGCAACGATCTCTGCTGCATGCGATGACTAAAAGACTCTTTTCTATCTGTCTCGTTCTAATGTCACGATTCAATGCACGCGAGCCTGCTAAATCGATTTCGTAGATCAATTTCAACTTGATGGATCGTGAGTAAATCTATAAATGTTCTTCAATTATTTCATTTTTTATTTATTCATCCTTTTATTTGAATTTTTTTATCAATCTCACCCTTCATATTCCTTCCTTTTGGCTCATTTTAATTATTTACAAAATTTTTAAAATTATTTTTACAGGTTCTATCTATCAATTGGAATATTTTTCGTCTCATCACTGATTCAATAATCATAAAAATGTTTCATGTAATTTTTCTGTCATGTCAAGTATTTTCTTATTTATTTAACGATTAGGGTAGTTTATATGCTAATTTGACTGCGGATTGACTTGGGTTTTACATGATGATGCAATCTAAATCGTTTTCTATCGACACAAAGCGTATAAAGAGTGTTTGATTGCGTATACAGGTGGACTTGATGCGTCTGCATATGTATATTCAACAATAATATATAAGGCAAGATCACGTTACCACGCGTATGTAAATGAGAAAAAGGGTTATATACGTATCTACCGCTATAAGACGACCGCTAAGAAGACCACGGTGTGAACCGTGTGAATCCCAACGCGGCTGTTGTTACCGTTCTCGTTCCTCATCCCATCTTTCTTGGTTTCCTTCCTCTTTCTCTTTTGATCTGTGATCACTTGACTCACGGGAATTCCACATTTTTATCTGACAAATTGTGCTAACGATTAACAATGGACCTAACAAAAACTACCTAGTTGGTTTCTTTTGGATTCTTATAATTGATTGGATACTTTTTACCTATCATCGAATTTACCACTCACAATCATTTATACACTGAGAAAAAAATTTACTTCATACAAAAAATATTTCATTCGATCATTAACATCGAAATTTCAAATAGTCGCAATAAAATATTTCTTCGAAATTATGAATATTTCATTGAAATCATTTTACTTACTCAAATGAATAAAATGTCATTTGTTTTCATTCTTGTCGTAACCTTGAAAATTTGTTTTCAAACTTATCGCAACATTGAAACAAAAGACAAAATCGGTTTTTGATAACACTACTATTAGTCTGAATAAAATATTATCTTGAGAATATTCGAAGTTTCCATTATTGATTGGATAAAAAATTCTTTCATTTAACGAAATTTTTTTCTCAGTGTAGCATTTACCTTTTTCTTAACTTTTAAAACTTTATTTAACATTTTTTACTTTGATAAATATTTGCTAAATTAGATTAAATTAATAACAAAACATCGTAAATATATTTTTTTACAATAAAAAAAAAATTTATCATCATTAGGTTTTTTATGATGTATTACTTTCTCATTAAATACCTCATGATTAAGTCTTTTTTTTTTACTTTATAAAGACTTGATTATAAAATGTAGAATAAAAAATAAATGCATGCTATTCAATGAAACTATTCCATTCATCTCAGATATTATAACTCTTTCTTTGCTAATATCATATTTAATTTAAAAGTAATCTTCTTTTAATAAATAAGTTTTTTTCTATGAACAAAAATGCAGAAGGCTTTACTATATTTTCTCTTATAAATATTTTATTAATAATTATATAATAATCGAAAGAGTCATAAACTGAATTCTTTTACTAATGTATCCATGTAATTTTTTTTTCAGAAACTTATTATTCCTGATTTGAAGATGTCGGAACAAAACGTGATTATACTACTTCCAAAAATGTTTAAGGAAAAAAATTAAACTTAGTATTCAACTAGATTCTGTTAACAGTTAATTGAATTAAATGCTCTGTTATTTCTGCTATGTTAAGAAAAATTTTTTTCAAATAAAAGGTAAATAAAAAATTATAACACGTTTGCTATCGAAAGAAGTAATAATTAAATAATTTTTTTTTTAGGCAAAAGTATTAACCGGTTTTTAATAGATCAATTGGTTTTTAAAAAATATTCCATGTCATTAGGATGAAATATTTGAAGGCACAAAATACCATGGATCTCACATATTCAGATTTATTCTATTACGTATTTTATTTTTTGTAATTTACCACATCCAATCCACAGCTGTCCATATCAAATGGTATAAAGCATGAAAAGTAAACGCGTTACACTGTCATCGTCGTATCTCAATCGCTAGAACTTCCGTCAGCCACTCAGTGAAATTGAAAATTGCACATTAGCTTAACTTTTATTCTTATTTGTTCTCTAGTTTTGCTATTTTATTGAAAAACGAAATTCAATGCTTGAAAAACTTTTCCATGTTTCTTTTCCCTCTTGTTTACATTTTTTTTTTGGTTTATATTTTCATCAAATTTAAATTTAGATATACCCCCAAGTGATATCAAGTCCCAGTATCATTCCAAATAAAAAATAAGTCTAAATGGAATTTAGTCTGTCCACAATGGCAACTTACACTGTAAATTTTAGTGTTTTATTTTAAAACATTAAAAGTGTTTTAATATGACGTTACCCATTTGATAAACATTGTCTCGATTTTGAAACGTTTTTAAGTGTTTAAAAAAAAAAACACTAAAATTTACAGTATACTAATTAATATTTGAAGACTTTATACGAATGAATATTTATATTTTTTTTAAAAATTAATTAATTATGAAATAATGAAAATTTAATTCAATTGTAATAAAAGAATTATTAGTGTAAACGTGATTCTTATTTCATAACATCTATTTTAAAGAGCCATTTAAAAGCATTACTTCCGTTTTGTGCAAAGGGTAACAGGGTAATTTAAATCATGAGGACGTCGTAGTAGTAGTTCTAACTGACTCCTGCAGCCTTGTGCATCTATTGTGCATAAACTTGCATTATGCAGTAGGTTCAATCGTTACATTCTGCTACCGGGAGATACGAAGTAGCATATTTCTCTCCTGTTTTTTTTCTGTTATTGAATTTCACGGTCGTCGCCTAGTCTAAGATGATTTTTACTTTTAAGAAGTACTCTCTATGCTTTCTGTAAATTTCATACTGACATTAACTACTACGTGTGCGCAATGTCGGCATCAGATAGAAGATTTATTAAAGAACATAAAAAATAATTTTCTCATGTTCATTTATCTCTTCTTTATTATTTCAGGATTATCTAAACGATCTGAAGATTCTTGATGACTAGAATTCTCTCCCTCTTGTCAACTGTTTATTCTCTTCAAGATTAACCAAGACCAATCCGATTTTGCGTGGGAAGCAGAGTTGCAAAAATAATTGTTTAGAAATAAATTAATACTCATGCTGGTACTTTATCAATGCATCTATCATTCGATGAATAATTATAAAACTTCTTAATGGTGAGATAAATGACTTTTCAATTTTTACTGTTGTGTTAAAGCATCTTAATAAGTCGACTTTATTTATTTAATAACTTTTGTTTGAAGATCATAAGAAAACTAGTTATATTTTTCTAAAATAAAGTACTTGAATATACTTTAGTCGGAAAAAGAATTTTTGTTGTTGCAGATCGATAAAAATTAAATGATAAATTCATAGATGGTCCGATGAAAATAACAATTTGAAAAGTAAAAATGATAAAAAAAAAAATAATTACGTCATGATAGATAATGCACGTAAGTATATACGCAAGACAATCGAGTAAATTTTTGTTGTTTACTTCCTGTACATTAATATTGATGCATTATTCAAATGTAACGGTCTTCGAATGATTCATAAACGTCGCAAGAGCGTAAATACAGTGCAGTTCACCGAGCATACTTTTATTGTTTACTTATTATTATTATTTTCATTATAATTTTAATTTTTTTTTGTTCGACTTTTTTTTGCTTTGCTATCTTTGGAAGATTTAAAAATAAGTTTAATGAATATTCTTAGTACAAAAAGATTTGTTAGATTGTTTAAATTTCATGACAGATTGACGAATACTAGAGGAAGCAGGCGTTGATGACGAAGAAAAACGAGATGAGCTTGATGGAGAGGTCGTGGGACGATTTTGTTTCATTCTAGACAAGGAAAAGGTTCAATTTAAATGAATAGTCACGGTCTTGGACTCATCCGTTATTCACTATGTCAAAAACAAATTGATCTAGATGATTAACAATAATAATTATCAACAAAAGTTCGAATTTTACAATTTTATCAAATTAATTCCTTTGTTTCAACTCAAGAAGTTGAGAACAAGTGGTTTTAATTTCACTAAAAAATATTATTCTATCAAATTTCACTTTTGTTTTGACCAATTTGTTAAATTAAATCATTTAAATGAAATTTTTGATCATCAATCTGAATATATTAATCAATAAATGTCTATTTTACCTGATTATTAAATAATAATAATAATAATAATAATAATAATAATAATAATAATAATAATAATAATAGAAAAAAAAAAGACAGTAGAGGCTGAATGATAATTTTTTAGAACTTTGTTGATCAAAAATAAAAAGACATCAATAAATGTAAGTAACATTATATTTCACTTTTATTTCAAATATCATTATTTAGCATTGAAAGAAAAAATTTTTTTCAATTTAAAAATATTTTTGCAAGGAATCAATTGCTCCAAACAACGCGTCATGTTTGAAGGACCATTCGGGCTAAGGCTGCCGAATAAATCTCGTGTTCAGCCAGAAGGGAAATCAGAGAATCTCGAGGCCAAGGGGACAAGACTCAGCGGAAGTCAGTGAAGACTGTTGGTGCGTGTATGTCAAGATGTTGTATCAGGATAAAAAGCATCCGCATCGGTGATGATGAAGAAGATGCCCACGAGGAAGATATACAAGCCTAGTGAAAAGGACGAGCATGTGGGTGAAGGCTGTTGAATATCTTTCTTACTACTTCAACGGTGGTGTTACTCTTCAGGATGTGTCGAAAGTGAAACTTCATCAAGGTCTTAAGAAATTAATTCTTCGTTGACTCTAAATGTATGTACATATACATATGTTTCTCACTTTTTTTATACATTTTTCTTAGCTCCGAAAGCTACCTTCTCGTACACTTTTCCTTGGACTTTACGAGTTACTCATGCAGGAAAGTAATAAAGAGTTTCATGTGTGCAGCACCAAACGCCTGACGTGCCTCGTTATTGTTCATCATTCCTGCGTTCAACAACCGTGTAATATCCTTCAAGTCCCTTCGGGCTTGCAAGTGTTACGCAGGGTAATTATTAATCATAATATGGTCAAGGTAAATTTCCTTGTAGATTATTTATTTTTCCAATTGGCCATGGCGTCGACTTTTAAGTTAGACAGCTCACTGGGAGCCTTATGAACTCTTCAAAAAGACTCGTTAATATTTTAATCATCTTCAGAGAGAAAGATTATCTATTCATAGTTAATAAATCTTTTTTACTATTAATGAATAATAAATTTTAATAAAGATGAAATATTTTTGCTTTAATTAAATATATATATATATATAAAATTTAAATTTTAATAACCCTTCAAAAATTTTTATCAACTTTTATTTGTTAAATAAAATTTATCATCTATTATTCTGTTGATAAAGAACATGATTTATTTTTTTATTTATAGTTTATCGTTAACTATAAGAGAATGAAGACATGAAAAATAAATAAAGTGGAATGGTGAAAAGTTACAACTTCCGGATTCTTCTGAAAATTTATAATCCCACAAAAAAAGAAACGTTGTGGGAATTTTTGCATGTCCGTTATTCAAGATCTTCATCTCTTACCATGTAGCTAACACTACATGCTACTGGTTTTTACAAAAGATCATTTGACGATTTCATTCATATGCTGTTCACGATTTTTTAGTATTATCTCATATTTTCTTGATAATTATACCTTTCATGTTATCTCTCTTCATCCATTTTTAAACTTTTTATTTCTTACTTCAACATTTTTTTTTTTCATTATTTACGGTAAATATATTAATTTTATATGAATGAACAATAAAAATTAATTAATAAATTATTTACACCAATATTCTATCAAGTAGAAGAGTATGAAAAATAAATTAAACTTGTTTAGCATAAATTATATTAAATGTCAAACAAATTATTATTTACTAGAAAGAATAAATGCCGCTGTAATTTAAATTTATTCGCGCCAGTGTTTGTGAGACAAGTGTCGCCATCACAGATTACAGCAAAGGGTGCAATACCATGACAAAAATGAGGTTAGAATCAGTTAAAGGTATCATTAGAGCGTGAATGCATCGTCACTAAAATATTATCGAAAAAATTCATTTATTATTGGATGATCTAAAAGACAGATAATAAAGTTCCGTTGATTAAATAATCAAATTATGTTACGACCATCGAGAAGTTTAGTAACGACTCTTCAACGTGTTAAAGAATGCAGTCCAATTTTGCTGTGTGTACGACAACGTTCTGACATAACGGAATATGAATGTAAGTTAAATAAAAAATTTTAATTATTATGATTACATATATGCAAAGATTAACAATAAAATATGTATGTAATTATTGTCCACGAAATAATAATTATATTAATTATACAATTTATATAATTATTTAAATTGTTTTAGCACCCATTACGGACGAATATAAAAGAGGTCCTTCTGAAGGACGTTCTCTATATCTTGATGCTCAAGCCACAACTCCAATGGTATTAGATAGTTTTGTTTTTTTTATAATAAACATAGTTAATATTTATTTTCTAAAATACAAGACAAGTTTAACAAATTCAATTTATATGACGATAAATATGCATATGATTAGATTTATAAATAAGCATAATAGTGAATGAAAAACGTAAATCATACATTATTTATAAATTGATTGATTTATAAATTATTCGGTCACGATTTGTAATTGAATATATTATCTTCAATGAGAAGTCAAAATAATTAATTAATATTGTTTTTTAACAGGATCCTCGAGTATTAGATAAAATGATGCCCTATTTTGTCTCATACCATGGAAATCCTCATTCACGGACTCACATGTATGGTTGGGAGACAGAGGCTGCTGTTGAAAAAGCTCGTCAGGTATTTAACATGAATTATTAATCATTAATTGATAAAGAATATAATAAATACTGATAAACACATGATATATGATAATAAATTAGCATAACAGAAAAAAATATATACAAATTGAGGAAATCACAAATTTACATTAATAAAAGAAAAAAAATTTCGAAAATTACTATAATAAAGTTATTTTACATTTTATTACTACTATTTATTACAGCAAGTGGCAGAATTAATTGGTGCAGATAAGAAGGAGATAATTTTCACTTCAGGAGCGACAGAATGTAACAACATTGCTGTGAAAGGAGTGGCTCGATTCTATAAAGTGAAGAAAAAGCACATTGTGACGACCCAGACCGTAAGTTAAAAGAGTATTAATTCTTTGGATTAAATCACTGTCTTATTAAAATATCTAATGAAGTGTGACGACAAAAATACATCAAACTAGAGATTTTAATATAAAATTGAAAAAGGAGTACAAAAAAATAATAACAACCGCTAGACTTTCATCTCATTGGTTGAATGTCTTAATAAAATCTTGTTTTATCTTACATCTATAACATAAAAAAATGTCACTTACTTATCAACGGAAATTAATTTATACCGAATATATATTTATAGGAGCACAAATGTGTATTAGATTCATGTCGAGCCCTCCAAGCTGAGGAATTCGAAGTGACTTACTTACCAGTTAAATCAAATGGCCTTATAGACATAAATGAACTGAAAGAAGCGATAAGGCCTGATACTTCTCTTGTTTCTGTTATGACTGTTAATAATGAAATTGGCGTCAGACAACCTATTGAAGAAATCGGAGCGATTTGCAAGTAATTTCATTTCATTCTTGATTAAATAGCTATTTATAAGAGTGTTTCAATTCTTAAGCTATTTGACACATTTTGTATTTACTAGAGATTCATTGAAACTGAAAAGTTTTTTTACAAAACTATAAAAATTTATTCATAAATAAAACAATAGTTAGTGCATACATATTAAATATTCAAAGTTTTGTTACTTACTTAAAAAAGCATTTTGCAGGGAAAAAAAGGTATTCCTTCACACAGACGCTGCCCAAGCGATTGGAAAGATTCCAATAGACGTGAAAGCAATGAATATTGATTTATTATCAATAAGTGGTCATAAAATATATGGTCCGAAAGGAGTGGGTGCTCTTTATGTGCGAAGAAGACCAAGAGTACGTGTGGAGCCTATTCAAAGTGGCGGAGGACAAGAGAGAGGTATGAGGAGTGGTACTGTTCCTCCTCCACTTGTTGTTGGACTTGGTGCTGCTTGTGAATTAGCTAAAAGTGAGATGGAAGTGAGTACTAAACTATTATCACCTCATTGCAAGTCTTGATTTACATAAAAAATATTTTGTAAAGACATGTAACATTTTCTTCTTCTTTTTCAGTACGATAGCAAACACATTAGCTCTTTATCAACATATTTAATCGACAAAATCACCACAAATCTTACACACGTTATCCGAAACGGTGATCCTGTTGCCTGGTATCCGGGTTGTGTAAATTTGTCGTTTGCTTATGTAGAAGGTGAATCGTTATTGATGGCTCTGAAAGATGTTGCTCTAAGTAGTGGATCTGCTTGTACCAGTGCTAGTCTAGAGCCCAGTTATGTTTTAAGAGCTATTGGTGCTTCAGAAGATTTAGCACACTCCAGTATAAGGTTTGCTATTAACTTTTCAATATTTTTTTCTTCATCATACACACAACATTTCAATAGTCTTTTCACATTTTTGACAATTCTTTTATTTACCTTGTTCGTTTAATCTTTTACTCTCTATTTTCTTCTTAATAGTTTATTACCTCCATTGTTTATTATAATTGATACTTTTGTTTGTAACTAACACTTTACTGCTTTTAAATTATTTTCTTCATTGGTATAATTATCAATTCTCTGCGACAAAAATATTTATGGAAAATTTTATAATAAACTTATTTTAATATTCAGATTTGGTATTGGTCGATTCACAACATTTGAAGAAGTCAATTATACAGCAGAAAAAACAATCATTCACGTAAAACGTCTGAGAGAAATGAGGTAAGAATAAAAATAATTTAATCATAATTGATTTAGTAATATATATTAATTTATTAATATCTTAAAAAAGGTAATAAATATTATTAACTGATTTTTTTTTAAAAAATAAATTCTTTCCAGTCCGCTTTGGGAAATGATTGAGGATGGAATTGATTTAAAGACTATCAAGTGGACTCAACATTAGCTTCAGTACTCTCTACTCGTAATATTTTAATTAATAACTCATATTGATAGCGAAAATTTTATTACAAAATGGCTGTTTTTTCAACTGATATTTTGATTTTATTCGAACGTTCGATGATCGAAAAAAAGCCTGCACCTGTCAATGTTTCACACTGTTAAAAAGTACGTCAATTATTATAAGCGCAATTATGTAATTAATTTTTCAATTAATTCGTTAATTGATTAAAGACTATTAGTTATATTTATTAATACGGAAAAAAGTTTCTTAAATCCTGTCACTCGTTTGCTTATTGTTCATTTTGTTCGTTTTGGTTCCACCATCCAATTAATGTCATGATAAATTTTCTTTTGTCTTATTTTTCTTAATTATTGGTAAAAAAGAGATCGTTGGTTAAATATTCTATCAGATATCTTATTATCTTAGTCATTTGTTAGCGTTCTAATTTGCACCCACTGTGATATTAAAAGATTATTACGATTTCAATCGCATAAAAAATATTAACACATGCATGTAGAATCAGCGGTTTCATCTATATACGATATTTTAAAATGGTCCTCATCCATTTCATGTAATCCTATTCTTGATCTGTTAGCTTCAACAAGGTGTTGTGCTATGTCTTCAAACATTTCGTGAATACCTTCCCCAGTTTTACAAGATGTTTTATAAGTAGCCGAGATTAAATTATGACATTGTTCACTAAAAAAACATTCCACCAATTAATTTATCATTGATTTGATTATTAAATTAAAAGATAGAACAAATGTTTACCAAAACTGATCCATTTCAGCATCAGTTACTAATGGACCATTATTGTCAACATCACTTTTATTTCCACATAAAAATATTTTGGCATTTTCCGCATAAGTAACAATGTCAAGTAAGTGTTGAGATAATAGATGAAATGATGTTGAATTGTCAAGTGCAAAGACTAGAATAGCTGCTTCTGCAAATTTGTAGTAACTAGACGTCACCGAAGCCACTCTTTCCATGCCTCCAGTGTCCCATAATTGTAGCTAAAAAATTTAATCATCAACGAATTATACTATTTTATTACCTAGTTAATTTATTACTCAAATAATTTATTGTTATGATTAATTAATGAATCGTTTTGAAATGATTAGCATTAAATAGTAATTACTCGGATATGCTTATCGTCAACAACATATTCTTTGTCAATGTTGTCAAGTCCTAAAGTTGATTTTCTGTCACTACTTGTGACAAATGTATTATTGGCAAAACGTCGAAATATTGAAGTTTTTCCTACTCCATATTCACCGCACAATATAACCTTTTGTTCAGTAACTTTGACAGTTGCCATTTTATGGTCCGCAACAATGACGCCACTAGTTTATCAACAACAAAACTAAAACAAAGAAAACAGACTTATATGGAAGTTCAGTTCTTGTGAAAGCTAAAAAACTGAGTTAAAATTTGCTGAAATAACTGCGAGATGGAATGCAAATACTAACTCCGATAGTTAGAGCGCTAAATTCAAAAGTTCTCGTGCTAATACTAAGGCAAGCAATCTATCAATTTCTAGCAAATGCAAACAGAAGAATTAATCAAGCCAAAAGACTTGACAACCACATGTGTGAAAGTAAAATATATGTGATTAATTGTTAGTAATTAATTAAAGATGATTATTATTTATTAATGAGTTTAAACTTACTTTCTTCTACTGATGTTGGGCTAAAATTTAGTTAAGAAGGTATCGAAAGTAAAGTTACTCCATTATGTTCAACAGTAGTAGTGAACAATAAGTTGCAATAAAGAGAACCTCGTTCATCCATGCATATATGACATATGCGCATAAGGGATAGAAAAAAATCATCTCTAAATCGTCTGAAATTTATACAAGAGTCATCATATTAGTTGATGTTTGCAAACAAGCGTACATTTATGCATTTTTATCAACTTATTTATTTTTTATTTGAGTGATTGCTTAATTATCTATTTTTTCATTATAATATATAAAAAATGTAAATAGAATTCAAGAAAAAAATTACGTGTGCCAGAGAACAAAAATGCTATGTACGTCTCCTTTCTCTGTTGTGTAAAATGATGGTATACCATCATTACTCTTTGTAATAAAACAAGGTTTATTTTATTTACACAATTAAAAATGAAAATATATTTATTCGAAATAATTGATTTTTTACTTTTTTTATTTAATTAGTACACTTAAGTATTTTATTTTATTTTATTTATCAAAAACTAATTTTTAATTTAGTACACAGCTTCATTTTAGATGTACACAGACGTTTTAAAACTCGCGGATGCAACGACTTTTGATTTTTTTGAAGTGACAACTAGCGGTTCATGTAAGTCAATTCTCTAACTAAGCGCCATCTATTCAATGTGTTTTTTTTTAGAACTAAGATTGTCAACTTCCCATAAGGAAGTTATTGAAATTGGGTCGATTGATGAAATTTGAATTTTTATCATATCTTCACGATATTTGCAACGTACTGACTGATTTTTAGAATGATGTGTGTGTATGTACGTACGTATGTATGTACGTATGTTTGTGTGTCAGCATTTTTTTTCGTTTTTGATATCTAAAGAACGGATTGAGATATCAACTTCAATTAAAATTTATTCAAAAGATGTTATTATGAAGAAGATCTAAAAGGAATTTGAATGAATTCGGTTGACCGGTTTTTTTTATAACAAAAAAACTAAAAATAAATAAATGAGAACATTAACTATCTAAAATACTTTTAAGCAAAAAAATAACAATTTTATTCGAAAATGAAATCAGTATTAACTAGACATTATTGTTTACAACTAAATATAACTTCTATCAAACATGCATTGTTTATAACGATATGAATTTGTTTCAAACAATTAAAAATTGTATTTTTCGATTAAGTAATGTGTATATCATAGGGATTTGGATATTTTCAACAAACATTGATTATAACTATTTCAATTTCTTATAAACAATTACTAATGGGAAGTTCGTCGTGTTAGCACAGTCAAAGTGTGCTCAGACCTATTTTTATTGATTTAAACACCGTGAGTTCTGTTATAAAATAGATACGTGCTATTCTTCTATGAATAGTAATATTTTCGAAAATTAAAGTTCACTGTAATTGGTTTAAAGCGAGGTACAAATTTAATCTAATGAATTATAAAATATAGATAAAAATTTTTAGATCACAGATTCCTATTCAAACCTTTTAGTGTTTGGATTGTCTCTAGCTTTAGCTATAACTTTCTCTATTTTATTTATTTTATTTTACGGTCTTAAGATTAATTGTAATATAGACATATATTTTGTATAAGTTATTCTGACACTGTGCATTTCAATGACTAGACTTTTTTTTTATATTTGTTTTTAAAATTGGACATTAAAATGATAAGTCAAATTAACGTCCAGTAAGTTCTAATCTTAGATATTAATTAAGAAAAAACAATTTAGTGTGACCAGTAACAAATCTATCGGCTGTTTAACACATGAATTAAAATATTTTTCTTTTCTCTCTGAAGAATTCCAATTCTGCAGGGAACAGCAATAAAAATGATGATGTACTAATATGGACCGTTTTCTAAATTAAAAAGGTAAATTATAAATAATCCCTAGAAAGATGATATTAAAAGTAGCCGAAACATAATAAATTTTCAATATATTTCAAATTAACTTACCAATGATAGAATAATTGGCTATCAATTGAATGCAGAATCTAAACAAGAAAAAAAATATCATTTTATGTTTCAAAATTTCTCTCGTTCCTGAGGCACAAATTCATGCAGCATGTTTCTGAGGCGCAAATTTATGCAGCCTGTTTCTGAGGCACGAATAAATTTGACCTATGCTTTGATCAAATTTCTTTTAAAATCAGTTTATTTCACGAAAAATATTTCAAACACAGTGGGCAAGTCCAATCATCGGTATCCATTGGTTCACCGTTTTCATATCTCATTCGTCATCTATCATGTATTTTACGTTTACATGATGTACATTGCAATGTCATGTTCTTTCTTTGTCACTTGTGCATAATATACAAATATTCTCTATTGATTCCGATGCTTTTAACAAATATGATGCAATATCGGATCTGCGTTTATTTGGATCGTAGTAAGGGTTTTCGAGAATAGTTTGAAACCCAAAATTCTCCATATAATACATAATAAACATCCCATAATTATACCCATCAGACTGTACTGGCCGATTAATGGTCAAGTCTGTCTCAGTAAAAACTTTCCACCGTATATCATATAAATTATTATTTTTCAATTCAATTTTTCAACTAGAAGACACCAATGATTGCGATACGTATATGGTAATAATAGGATGTTTACTGAACTTCAATCAATGTGATAAATAAAACATGAAGGATCTATTTCTTCCCGTTCACTGTTGTCTTCTAATATAAATGCAGTATGCCGAGTCGTTATAAATTGCACATTTTTCTAATGTTCTGATGAAGATTGAGCTATTGAATAGCTATCAATAACATCACCATCAATCCATGATGTATCTCTTAATGTTTTAAATTCTGTAGACCACGAGTTATATACTGACACATCGAGTAAAACATTGGGATTACATTGATATTGTGCCACTGGATAATCTGCATTGATATCTTGATAATAGTATTCAGGATCATTAAAAACTGCCGTAGAAAACATGGGTGTTCGTTTTCGTTTTTTTCTAATAAACTCCATTGTAATGTATGTAGGATTTCTAATTTCCATGTTTCGATTATGCCTACTATCGATGATTTCCGGAATCAAACAATTCGTATAGAATCTTTCTAAAAGTTCTTCCATATGAACAGTCCAAAATTCATCATCTTTCAGTACTTTTGTCTGCTTCATACCTAATGGAGTCCAGAGTAAAAATACACAATAACTACGATTTGTAATATGTAATAATCCTTGTATTTCATAATAGAACACATGATGAGTGTTCATATCACTCATGTCTTCGTCAGTATAAATTTTACTCATTTCTGCAACATTTTCTTTGAAAGCTTCTTCTGGTGTTAATTCTTTTGCCTTGATGGGAAAAAAAATTTCTACAATTCCATCATTGTTTATAAGTCCACCGGATGGAAAAGCTGATAAAAATGGTTGTTTAGGATCAATGAATAATCCACATTTTGGAATTTTCGAATCTTTTTCTTTTTTTCGAAATTGATTCCAAGCTTGTTTTAAACTTTCTTCCTTGTATTCGCTTGCAACCGTATTCCGTTTTGCTTTGTAAAGAATTCTTTTTACAATTTCTGCTCATGAAGTTGACTTTCTCAACTTGCAAATTTTACCAAAATGTTCTGCAAAAATAGTGTTATGCAAGATATCATTAAGCAATCCCAGGTTATCTTCTCGAGTTTCAGTTTGGATTTGATATCGAGTTTTTTGCCATGACCATAATTTTTTGTATAAATTTTTTCTTCGTTCTTTAAACTCTGACTCATTTATGTCAGGCTTTCTGCAATTTTTTCCATAGTCTTTGGCCGATTTTGTTTTTTCTGTTGACTTATTTTTTGTTCGTTGGTTCCCATCAACTTTTTCTAAATATCCCCTAGCTTTTCTTAGATCATTACTTAACTTTTTTCTTTCTTCCATATCTACTACAATTTTTGCAGGCACTTCCCCTATGGCTTCAGCCATCTTATCCAACTAGATCCTGCAATTTTAATTCTATGCTTCTATTTTGTTCGATTCTGGCTTGACGTCTGAAAAATGATGTATGGGGCCAATTTCAATCCATTTTTATTAGTTCTCAAGATTATTAAATCAGAGGTGTTAAGGAAAAAAATTCAGCGCCATTTACTGTACAAGATTTCTATTGTAAAATTACTGTCCTATTGATGAAAATTTTTACACCGACAATTGTACAATAATTTTAGTATGTATTCGTAAAAAAAATTTGATTCACTTAAAAATGCTAATGAATTTTTATTACATGTCCATTTGAATTTTTCAGTATTAATTTTGAAAAAAAATATTGAAAAATTACAAAAAAATACATTCTACCATCTTTTAAAATTTTCTTTCAATAGAATCAGTGGAACCTGGAAATCTGGAGACCTCTCATTATTGATGGTAAAAGTGTATCAAAATCGACTTTCTAAGTGGAAAATTTTTGTTGTAAATTTCCACTATTAGTGCATAACTAGTAAAAAAGAATTACTATGATCTTATGTTGGATAAAAGAATTAATAAAGATTAAAGGTCACTATTTTTTAGTCTTCAGAAAACTTTGAACTTTATTAACTCTGTCGAAATGCATGCAGTTGTATTTTTCGCCACTTAAAAAAAGCTTTAAATGTCATTTACATGACTGATCTAGTGCAAAAATTAGTTTGCTATTTTAAAATAACGTGATAAGCGCCCCGCGTGTTTGTCACTATGGTAATCTCCTATCTCTTCTAATTTCATATCTCTCACTCTCTTACTCGTTTTACATATGGCCGACCAAAATCTGTCAAACCGCTTTGGATTTTTAATTGCGGATATTAAGCTTATTCTTCAACCAATCGTCCTTATCTCGTTTCATTCCATAGATTTTTGTTGCGCGAATCTTTTTCTGTAAGTATTTTCTTATTTTATTTATTTATTTGCCTAAAACTAGTGCGCAAAAATTCATATACTTTAATATATCTATATGTTTCCGCTCGAGGCGCCTTAATGACTAAAGAGCGAGTACGTTTAACCCTCCATATCATGATGTAGACTGTAAGCAACATACCGTTCAACCTACTACTTAATTTATATGATTCGTTTTTTAACATTATATTGCCCCCCAGGCAACTCTCCCTGTTTTTCTATTTTTTTTGGAAACTAATTGAATAAATAAAAAACTACGAAAC